ACCTGCAAATGTATTTGTGAGTTTGCAAATCTTTTAAATGCATTTGTGGATGGCGTTTTACACACAAATAATTGTTATGTTCACACAAATAATTGTGAAACATATTTAAGCCCATACACCGAGCACAGGTAATTAATGTCTTGTGGTTTTAGATATAATTACATACTATTTAGGTTCTCGGTTGTTTGTCGATTTGGCTGTTTAGCTAATTTGTATTTTAAATATTCAATTTAAAGGAATGGAATACATAAATAATATATATATATATGTGTATGCTAACTGAGCGAGCAGTTAACAGGGGTGCTAGTGACTTCTCCGATCAGCCCACATCGTCCGAACGGCCCACTCCGGTATCCGGCCCATCGAGATCCGTCCCAAACGTCCAGATGGCCAGTCCGCCACTGCTATCCCGTCGGGGGTCGCCAGTCTCTGGCACTGTTAGTTTGGGGGTCACGGGCTGAAAAGTCTCATCATACTTAATCCTAGACAGTAGCGCATGGTATTGTACGACTTTGTAATTTTTGAATGTTGATATGTATTCGCTCAGCCTACTGTGCCTTTCACGCAGACAATAAAAGTCCATTTTGAAATGACAAATAGGTTTATGTTTCAATTTTATTTGCATTAAAAACGTGTTTTTAAACCCTTCTGTTCAAAGTTGATATTTTGTTTCTTTAAAGATAAAATCTTTAAAACGTGCTGTTTTCCATTTTTAAAGTTTGATGGAAGAAATTAAAATATAGGTCACTGACGTGGAGCTTTAGGCCTGCAATGCTTTAAAAAAAATGTTTTAGTTGTTTCAGTTTTGAAGAGTGAATATGGGTGTTAAATTCACAAATTAGTATGTATAATCTTAAACAAAAACAGGATCTTGAGCCATGATGCCTGTTTTTAAAGTACAGAAACATTCAGAATGCATGACGATTCCTTCAAAGGTTTTGTAATATACCCCTATACTCTTAATTTATAGAGTAATAATAATAAATGTGAATTATTGAGCTCATTAGTGGCCTGACTGGCCCTCCTAATTTGGTCTAAAAAAAAGTCAATGATGATCATTGTGAAGGGGTGTCCAGCCCATATCAACAACGCTAATGTGAGATTCAGACATTCGTTTTAAAAGTCATGTTTTCATGTTATAGTAGGCCTACCTTAGAACCTGTTTGAAACCTTAATGACCCCATGATGTGATTATGTATATCTTAAAACCTTTAACAACTATATTTAGATTATTGTATATTTAGATACATAAATATCTACATTTGTGTATAAATACATGTGTAGCAGTTAGACAAACATAATTAATAGATGATCTCATTATTACCTATTTTATATGTAGGTCTACTAAAAAATGTAAATAAAGTTTACTAAGCCCCCTTTTTGTTTTAATTTATTAAATAGACAACATGATTTGTGCTTAAAGCAATACTGTTGTGTCTCAAACGGATAGACTAGGTTTTTAATTAATTTGCCTAATTGTTGCTTAAAATGCTACAATAACATTTGCAATTCGTTTTTAATCTGCCATGTACGGTATCAAATGTCTCTCAGCCACCGTCGTGTCAGGTGGGCGTGTTGTGTAGGGGGCGTGTCGGGTCCAGCTGTTGGCCGCCTATGATTGGTTTACCAGTCTGTGATGAAGTCATAACGGAAGCTCTGATTGGTTAAGAGCTTCAAACACGGTAGTGGAAACTCGACACAACAAGGGCTTGCAGTATACTTTCACTGCATTCATCGGTAAGTTAAGTTAAAACATGTCATGAATGATGAATCACATTAATTGTCGTCTTGGTCGAAAAAACAATCCACGGAGTGAAATCTTCCTAGTGTCTGTGGTCGTGGTGACAACTTTACTGTCAGTTACTCCCTATGCACTTTGGTCGTTCAGTTATCTCATTAACCACGTCAAGAGTTTTTACATGAAGAAACATCACACAATTTGGTCATTTGAGTTATGAGAGTGTAATGTGACTCACAACTGAAAGAGCAGTGAACATGGATTTTACTCAGGAGGCCACTGTTATATCAGTCTGAAAGGGAAAACATTAACACAGCAGCCATTGGACATTGGAAAAGAACAATTCAGCTTTTAAAGGTTGAGAGAGTGAAGGATGTAATTTATTTATTTTTATTTTTTTGTTATTTTGTTAATGGAGTTGGTCCTGTGTGCTGGGCTTTTATGTTTTGTGCGCTCTGCTTAGTTCAACAGTGCCTACATGAGAATAAAGTCCCCAAAAAAAACATGTAAAGGGAGATTAAAAAACAGCACTGACTCTATTAAAAAAGAACTGCTCTTGTTTTGTCCCATCTCCAAAAACAGAGAAAGGAATTAAATCTCAAAATGTATAAGGTTGATTGATTAAAAGATTAATCGACTGGTTGTTGCATATTCAATCTTGTATTTCACAGTGAATTATTTAATAAAGTTGGGAGATTATTTTGAAAATGGCACTTCCCCAGGGATGTAGGATATTGGTGCTTCCGTATGAAAAGGGCACTGGCATTCAGATCTCCCCCTGCACCCACCCATGCAAGCTCTTAGAAGTTCCTACTGAAGTCTGTAATGTGTTTGCTAGAAAAGTGCACGAAGAATTCTAATCAAACCGGTGTTTTATCTGTCAAAAAATATCATTATTTTATATTCTTCTCCTCTCATTTATGGAAGATCTGGGGAATGTGTTTACATTTACGTGTGTGTGTGTGTGTGTGTGTTGTTTCTACACACAGTAGTATAGTTTCTGTCATGGAGCCCCCTCTGTTTCCCCGTGAATCTGGACAGTTCATAGCAGAGCGGAGTCGGGATGTGTTCGTGGAGGAGGAAGGAGTGCAGAAGGTGGCCGAGATGCTCTTCAACCTGCGCCACACTGACAATCTGACTGCCAGTGGCTGGAAGAAGGCCAATCCATTGGCTCCAGTACCCACCTCTGACCAGGGGAGTCTCAACAGCCAGGCCCCCAGATAATAGATTATTAGTTGACATTAGAATTAATCACATGGTACCTTAAAACATTTTGATTGGTGGGAATAGTATTACTGCATTGGTAAAGTGACAGGTGGTACGGGTTTTATTATGCTGATAATAATACTTAAGTAACATTTATTATAGTACTTATACTTGTAAAGGAGTATTTTAAGGATACATCTACTTTCATCTAAGTAAAGGATCGGGTCCTCCACCACTGCATGAATTTCACTTCAGTTACACTATTCCTATCCACGAACAAATTGAGATGGGGATTCAGCAATCTGAAGCCAGAATTCTATTTATCCTAATTTAATAATGACTGACCATTCATGAATAAGAGGCCGTTATGAAAATCATCTGTGTCTACACACGTACATCCCATGATGGAAAAGTCTATCCTTACAAAATGAAGGCTTTCAAAGCATAGCAATATTTGAAAAGACATTTGTTTTCTTTTATGTATTGCTTTTTTGTACAGTGACTGCCTGCTTGCTTGGCCTTTAGCTTTTTCCAGCTCTTTTGATATATTGTGTTTTTAACATTGCAGGCCTTGAACTGGGTGTTTGTGATAGACACCATGAACTTCTCCTTTTGGCCCGAGGAACAAACTCAACAATGTGAGGTAACCTATAAAGGGACCACGTACACGGGCTACATGACCCTTTGTGCTGCCATCGCCAGGGCTATGGAGGAAGGTGAATTTTTTTTTTTGGTTGAATGAAAGTTATAACAGCATTTTAATTATGTTTAAAATAACACGTATTGTCCTCCTTTCTCAAAGTGCAAAGTTGAAGCGATTCATCATTAAGTAGCTGTTACTATAGTGGGCAACATTTGTGTAGGATTCATTGAATCAGCACGAAAAAAACCTCATTATACTTCAAACAGCACTCTAGGTGATAGAAATGTCAGGAAGAGGAGGTGAGGCCCTTCTCTAACAATGTTACGTGACATCTTTGATATTTTATTTTTTTGTTTGCAGCTTCACCTATCAAAAGAAATATATATTGAAGCCCTTTTTTATATCTTTTTTTCTGTGTGCTTTTGTTGTGCACTGCTATTACCAATTATTGTATATGTGCCCTTTACTTTAACTAGGGCTGCTGGGAAATTGCTTGTAGCTGCCTGTGCATCAATCATAATTAGCGTGAATGACTCCGGATATGAATCAATTATGTCTCATATGGAATAGTGCTCTCAATGTGTGGTCGCTGTGGCCCTTATAATTCCAAGAGATTCTCTCAGAAAAGCTCAGGTAGCTTTGTAAAGTGTGAATCTCAGCAGGAGACAGCACGAGTTCAGAACTAATTATGTCTTTTGAGGGTCTTGTGAGAATTGGATGCTGTGGAGCTATATTGCTGTCATTATAGGACAAAATATCTTCATAACTTAGTAGCTAAAGTGTCTTCTTTCACAAGTAGTCCATCTAATTGCTCCTCCACTCCAAAGTCAATGATGGACAGAAACTAAGTAAATTGACTCAAGCACAGATTTGAGATACTTATTTGTAATTAATTTGTACTTTACTTTAGTTTTGCCATTTTTCTTTTTAACAGTATCATTTCTACTCCTCTCCATTTTTCTGACAGCTTTATTTGCTAAACACTTTGCTGATACAAAATGTGCTGTATCTGATATGCTTTTCAGATAGGATGCGGTACTATAACTTACTCAGCATATAAAGCATCTGAAATTGGTTCTACTGACAAACTATAACATTGAAATGATCTTATATGTATTTGTTAATGATTAAAACGGAATATCAGAGAATATGATTATGAAATAACCAGGAAAAGTGCCATTCTGCGTAATGAATACTTTACTTTAATTTTGCTGATATTCCTTCGGGACATTTATTTATTCAGGATGTTTACTTGAAAGGGAGTATTTTTGCTCGATGATAGTTCTAATCCTTTTCTCCACCCCTGTCCACAGGTATACCCATCACTGATCCAAAGTACTTTTCCCAGATGAGTATGGAGGAGTTGGGACAGGTCCTTCGATCAGACAATGAAACACCCATGCCCATGCTTCAGGAACGCCACCAGGTTCTTGCCTTATCATACTTGTCCAATATCAAGGTTACTATGATGTAACAATCATACAAAAAAATCTTTAAACTGCTTCAATCATTTAACTTTAATCCAAGGATTTGAGCCTTGTGTTGTTACTTAAATTTAATACTTAACAAAAACACAATATTTGACTTGTGTGAAAGCCTTCTTAGCACTTATGTAACACAAAACAAAGGCTGTGCTTTTCAATCAAAGACAAGAAGATATGGTGAGAAAAAACACAATGCATTATCTCATCCCTCTAGTCCAGTGGTTCCCAACCTGGGAGGCGCGCCACCCTTGGGGGGGCGCAAAAGATTGCAGGGGGTGCGCCAGGCCTCAGATAATTTAGGCCAAATATCATATTTATACTTTTTTTTTTTACATATAATTGTAACGCAATACATGATTGTCGCTAAAAGCCTGGTCTCTACAATAAAAAAATAATTGATTAATTTAAATAAATATTCAAGTTAGTAGCTATTTAAGGCATAAAAAGACAGACATGTATAATTCTTTCTTTAATAGAAATGTTTCTTCTGCCCATAAAGTGTCCAAACCATGGCTTGTCTGGATAAGCGCATTTAAAAAAAAATTGCAGTTGTCCATGCCGGTTTTAGTTGGATTATTTGTCACAGTTGCTCCGATGAGATCGGTCTCCTCCATTTTGTAGATTATTTACGATCTTTTGAATGCCATATAAACAGCATGCGGTCAAAATCGGCCTTACTTTGAGCATGTGTTTTTAAAGTTTATCGCTTGTGAATTGTTTCCACTTGGCGCGCGTCCTTTAATTTCCTCAATAGCAGCGGCGAATCCAAATGAACTTAAATTCCTGAGTCTACAGTACCAGTAAACCGAAAAGTCACTCCAATAGTGCTCCTTAACTTAGGCTTTCATCTCCCGTTAAGCAAAATAACTTTCACAATTCATCCAGTTGTGACAGTAGTTGTGCATTTTGAGGCTTTTAACTTTAAATTACCACTGTTGCCCCCCCCCTCTGTGTGTGTGTGGGGGAGTAACTTCCAACAGGAGTCATGTTGGGGGGGGGGCTCTTGGGAAAAAGGTTGGGATCCGCTGCTCTAGTCGAATTAACTCTGATCAAAGAATCGGTTCACTGGAATTCAAACCAGTGTATTTTATATATTACAGATTCCCTCTGTAGATGCATATCCGTGTCTGTGTGATTTAGTTTTTCTTC